AAAAAAATTTAATTTCTATTACTTAAATTTTTATTAAATTTAAATTTAAGATTTTATATAAATAATATTTTCACCTAAATTTATTAATTTATTTTATTTATATTTTATTTAAATAAAAAAATTAAATTATCAAAGAAATAAAAAATCCATGTCAAATGTTAAATCCCTTACCATGTAAGCATGACATGGCAATATTTTGCCATCCAAGCAGCCAAGCGGGGTATCTGCTCAACGGCAGTTAAGTCCGGCCAGCAATCCCAAACGGCAGTTAAGTTGGCGTAAGAAGAAGGGCTTAATTGCTTTGATCCCAGAGTTCAAGGGCTTAACTGCATCAATTAAAGTTTAAGAGCTTAATAGCAATTTTGGGGTTCGTTCAGGGGCTTAACATATAGTTTTGCCAAAGAAAAATTATTATGTTTTGATGCATAACCTTCCACGCCCCTCTAACCATTTCTCTTTGAGATTATCAGTTTTTCAATATATACTTACTTTATGTGTTTTAATCCACATATATGACGTTATTACTATAATTAGTCTTATTTAAGCGAGATCCCATCACATATGAGATGCTTGATTGTCTCTACTCTGTTACTCAATTATCATATTATTGTTAATATATATCTAATCCACTTCGATGATAAAAGGTAGGAAAAATCCCATCTATGTTACGTATGCTTTAGCTTGAATACTTTTGCTTCTATATGATAGAATAGAAATAGTCATACGGCTGATATGATGTGATTATATTTATTTTAAGTTAATTAAATAATATTATAAAATTTATATATTAAAAAAACATAAAATATATTTCTAGAGAATAATAGTTTTAAATACAAATAATTAGAGGGATCGGGAATTAAGCCCATGTTTTGAGAAGGCGGAGGCGTTGTTTGCAGAAACTTTAGAACAACGTGGAATTCTTTCTGAGATAAATGGCGATCAAAGATACGTTTTACATATCGCATGGCTCCCCAACGCTGTCGATAGACGAGTCGTTGCCGGCGAGGCATTTCCTGAAATCATGGAAGGAGAAATTCCTTACCCAAAAACCCAAATCCATCCTCGTCGTTTCCGGCCACTGGGAGACTTCTGTTCCCACCGTCAACATCGTTCATCGCAACGAAACCATCCACGACTTCTATGGCTTCCCCAAGGAAATGTACCAGGTACCCGTTTCTTCTCCTCCCTTGAAATACTTCATAGAAATGCAAAATTTTGGTTTCTTGAATAATTTAGGGGTTAATATTTATTAAAAAAAATGAAACTTGGTCTTTTCTTATGGATTTAGGAGGCTAATTTTGGTTTCTATGGTGGTTGGTGGGGGTTTCTATGTTCTTGGTGGTTACCCTTTGTTGAGGTTAAGTCTATGATTATTGAAAAAAAATGTAATTTCTTTCTTTTTAGGCTCAAACATCTTTGGTTCATTAGTATTTCAAGAATTACTTGATTGCCATGGTTTACACAAGCGCTTATGCCTGTGATGGAGTTGATTGAGTTATAATTGAAATGCTACTTGAAACATTAATTTTAGGTGAAAGTATGGTACTGTGACAATTTCAATGTTGTTGAATAAGATCTTGGGTAAAATAACAAGATTAATTAGATACCTCAATAAAACAATGGACATATAGTATGTGATTTTGCTGAGTAATGATAAGATTTACATTAATGCTAGCATTCCTCTGCAATTCTTTTAACACTTTTTCCCTTATTAACAGTTAAAGTATCCAGCACCGGGAGCTCCAGATTTGGCAAAGAAAGTGAAGGAATTACTGTTGACATCTGGTTTTGAGCATGTTGGTGAAGATGGGAAACGTGGGCTTGACCATGGTGCATGGGTTCCACTCATGCTGATGTATCCAGAAGCTGATATTCCTGTTTGCCAGCTCTCCGTTATGCCAGAGAAGGATGGCACTTATCATTACAACTTGGGAAAGGCATTGGCCCCTCTCAAAGAGGAAGGTGTCCTTATCATTGGTTCAGGAAGCGCCACTCACAACTTGAGGGCTCTCAAGCAGGATGCCGGTGATGGTTCAGTTGTTCCTTGGGCTCTGGCATTTGATACTTGGCTTAAAGATGCACTCCTTGAAGGAAGGTAATTATTCATCAAAAAAGTGATTGGCTATGGCTAATCCTCATCCATTGAATTAATGGGGATCCCCTAAAGTGGAGTACTCCCCCTATTCAATGGTCTATTTTTTACAGTCTGGTGCAGTCCCATATGAGTGTGGTTTACTTCTTGTAGGCATGAAGATGTGAATCGCTATGAAGAAAAGGCACCATATGCAAAGATGGCACACCCTTGGCCAGAGCACTTCTACCCATTGCATGTGGCTTTGGGGGCTGCTAGTGAAGATGCAAAGGGCAAGCTTATCCACCATAGCTGGAGCCTTGGTTCCCTTTCTTATGCATCTTATCAATTTACTGCTGCCAGCTGAATTTCAATTGCAAAAACATTTTCTTATTGTCTGTGCTAGCTGTACAATATGTTTACTTTGAAATACCATTATATACAATAAAAGGATCAGTGCTGATGTTCCTGTGCATGTAAACTATGTTTGAAAACGATTAATTTAGACATTTTTGTTAAAATCAAGTTGTGTTATTGTGTCCTAAGAACAAACTGATGTCCCTATAAATCATATATTCATGTATGAATTGTTGTGTATTAATTTCTATAACTACTATGCCTCTTGGTCTAGGTGAAAGCTTCATAA